TGTTTTATATTCTTATGGGAAATAAGGGACCTATTTTTTCTGAAGAAGAGGATAATCTTATGGATAAGCCTATAGTGGTGAATTTGCCAAGCTTTGTGAAATAGCCTGACGTGGAATGCGTAAAAGAAGAATTGGTAATGGGTGATAAGGAATTACTTTGGTTTTATATTGGAGATTCTTACAAGTTTCAACCTAATGGTAGAAGTTCAAGATAATTTTTTCTAAAATAATGAACTTGAAGAGATAGATAGGAACCATGAAATAGAGAAAGACCATAAAGAAAAAGTTCAAGAAGAGGAGGAATATATGAATTCAACAAGGGATGATGAAGAGCTTTTACAAGTTAGAAGAGTGCTCTTGAAGAGTATATAACTTGAGGTGAAGGAAGTGTAAGAGTAAAACCGTAAGGTAAAAAGTGTTAGAATAACTCTAAGGATGTTAACCTAAAGGAAGACATTCAAAAAAGCCCAATAAATGTCAAAACCTAAATGGAAAGAGCTACTTAAGAAGCTAAAGACTGTTACACTTATTTATGAGTGTAGCCCTACATTTTGATAAATTATTCCAATAAAGTAAGATGACCCAAGGAGTTTCACTATACCTTATTCTATTGGTCACTTCTATTTTGATAAGGTTTTATATGATCTAGGTTCTAGTATAACTTTAATGCCTTTGCATATTTTTATGTAGTTGGGAGCTGGTATATTGCAACCTCTAAATTTCAGCAACAACTTTGCTAGTAGATCTATAAAAAAACTATAAGGAGTATTGGAAAATGTACTTGTGAAAGTGGGTAAATATGTTTTTCCTATTGATTTTGTTGTTTTAAATATGAAAGATAGTGAGGCCTCAATTCTATTAGGTATACCTTTCCTTATGGTCTCAGGTGCTTTAATTGATGTTTATAACTATAAGGTCACATTAAGATTTAAAGATAAAAGAATTACCTTTAAAATTGGTAAAGCTATTTTTAGAAACGATAAAAAAGATGTCCAAGAGATATCTATAATAAAAAGATAAGGAAAAACTCATGAATAAAGAGCCTAACCAAACCAAAAAGACTAGCCCAAAAGCCCAATAGTGAAAACCCACTCAGCCAGCCCTAAGAACCCAACTCCTTGTAAGCCCAAGACACATTCCCTTAGTGTAAATTCAAAAGACCCAAGGTTGAACCCAAATCCTATTTATATGATCCTTGCTAGGAGAGCTAGTCTAACTTCTAAGGCCAAATTTGTGTATGTGATACCACAAAAGCTATTACAATAAGGGAAACTCCTTCCTAAAAGAAAATGGTAATCTTCAATTCTTAAGTATGGTCAAGCTTGACCAAAATTAGCATTATTTGGAAGGCAACCTATGTTTTACATTTTCAAACTTTATATTTTCTTTGTTTTTGTTTAGGAAAGGTATGCTTTTATCTTGTTGTTTGTTTTTAGTTGTTTTCTTAGGAATGAAGAAAAGATGAAAATGATGTCTTGACAAGTTTCAGCCTCTCAAGAAGACAAAGATAAGCGAGTATTTCTATACCCTTAATGCTTTAATATTTCAAGTGAATCATTGTGCAATTCAAGTTTAAGGGAAGAAAACTTTTTACACAAAACTATTTTGAAAAGCTTTTCAAAGTATTCCTAAAAATCTTTGTTTTTAAACCAAGTTAACATGCCAAAAATCATTATAATGCTAACTTAGTTGATTTTTCATAATTTATTCATAATGACTTAAGTATGATATTAAGACAAGTATGAATGTGATGAAAGCATGAAATGATGTCTTAAGTATGCTATTCTTTGGATTATGATTTTTATGTTTTATGTACTAAATTTTAATCTTTGATATGCATCAATTTGTGTGAAAATTTTGTGAGTATAAAATTGCATAAAGTTTTGAAGCATGAGTATAACTTTAGAATTTGCCTACTCAACCTTCGAGGAGAAATCTTAGACTGTATTTGATTTAAAAAGTGATTTAGGCATTTTTTGGACCATTTGAGCTTTTTCAAGCCCACTTATAATAAGGCATCCCTAATACCTTTATTTTTTAGCTTATATATTCCATTTTCTTTATTTATTTACCCATAATAATAAGCCTAAACCTTTTTCAATGAAATTTCCCTCTTATTGCTTTTACCCAACTTGTATTGCTTATGCATGTTAGGGACAAAGTTAAAAGAAAAAATTTGCATTTGGGAGGAAGGGAGGTGCAAAGCAAGGCAAAAGAATAAAAGCCAAAATGGCTAAAATAAAAAAGAAAAGCAAAAATGTAAAAGCTAAATTACCTATATGAAAAAAAAAAAGTCAAATAAAAATGCCTCAAGTCTTAAAAAGTTTTAAAGTTTTCAAATTCCAATGTTAGAAAAAGTAAGTAAAGGATTATGAGCCTAAAATTTTCTTTTATCTTACTTTGACCTAAGCCTTACATTACAAGCCAATAAAGACCTTTTGATCTTGAGTCTAGTAAGTAAGCCTAACATCAGTGGAAAAAGAATGAGGAAAGTAAACCTATGAAGGTGCTCTATCTTTGAATTGATATGTAATGGCATATGTTGTATACTTTTTGCTTAGATTGTATGTATAAATTAGAAATAGATTAACTTTACATACATGAGAGTTTTATGAAACTAAAAGCATAATTTTGAATAAATTTCTTGTCTAATTATGTTTATTGCTATCTTTCTATTATACTATAGAGCATGATTGATAGTTTGTGAAATTTTAACTTTGTATGCATTTGTATTGATTATTAGTATAGTTAACTTGAGGACTTAACTTAAAGGACAAGCAAAAAGCTAAGTGTGGGGGTATGATAGAAGTAAAATTTATAGTGTTTTGCAAGTCCCTTCAACTCAAAATTTTGAAAATTTGCTTGAATTTGGTGTGTTTAATGTGTGATTTCTTGATATTTAGGTTTAATGCATATGGGATGCAAAGACCATTTGAGGCCATTCAAGGCCATGCAATTCCATGCAGTATTAGGTTAATCCTAATCCATTTAGTATTTGACCAATGCAAGATGGGAGTATAGCTAAATCCAATTTGGAATACGAATCCTACAAGCATTTGGTTATTAAAGTATCTTATTTGGACAAGGACTCCTACGTGTATTTGACCAAGAAGAGATCTTATTAAAAGAGGACTCTTTGATTATATTGAAAGAGTTTTTATGCAAGAAGAACACTATCAAGGAAATAAAGGCTAGATTTTCTATTCAAAAAGGACTTTTGGAAATTTATCTTAAAAGTTTATGATCAAAGCAACTATATGGCTTTGATCATAAACTCTTAAGATAAATTTCCAAAAGTGGATAATCAAGCCTATCTGAGACTTTCATCAAGATTGCAAGATGATGAATGGCATGACACATGTATGATCAAGATCAACCTATGACCCATTTGGCTAAGACACTCTATAATTGAAGACTCCATATTTGGCCATAGCACTTCAAGATTAAGATAAAGCCTAATCTTATTAGAGTTTGATTTATAATAGGACTTTATAATTCCAATCGCCTTTGGCCGAATGTTTCTTTATAAATGGAAAGGCTCTCTTCACTTTTAACACATCCCATTCCACAACACTTCTCTTCTCTTTTTTTCTTTTTTTCTTTTCAATTTTCTTTAGATTTTTTATAGGTTTCTTACAAATTGGCTAGAGTGACAAACTAGTCTAAGAACCAATACAATCTTGTTTTCTTAAAGCTTTAATACAAAGTTATATTTGCATTCTTTCAAAACAAGCTTTCTTTATTTACATTTCATGCACAATTTTCTTTTCTTTACAAGCATTCAAAATCATGTTTTATATGCTTTCTAATTTTTAGCCAATAGTCAAACTTTTCCTAAAGCTTTTGATTCTTTTAGTATTCTTGTTATATTCAGCCAATCTTAAGAACCACCAAGGGACAATTGATTACCAACAATCACAATACATAATCCTTGTGGGAACAATACTCTACTCACTCACTACTATTACTTGATGCGATTTGCGCACTTACAGGTGATATAAAAAGCAACAATCAACAATCTCTGTAGGAACGATACTCTACTCATTAATGCACTAATGCTTGATCCATATACTTATGGGTAGCACAACAATTGCTTTCTTATCCTTTAGCATTTTCACCAACCACCATTTCTTGGACTTTCCTTATATACTTTAATAAGTTGTTTACTATTTTTTCATTTTTAATAGCTTCTTTATAGCTAACCAGATCTCCACTACTAGCTACCCAGGCAAATGCAATAATTTCCTAAAAACATGACTTATGCTTTCTTGTTCATTTTCCTCTCCTTTTTGCAATTGAAAAATATGGTGTTGAGGGCTATTCGGATGAAAATTGATATGGAAAACTGACATGTACGGGCTATGAAGGTGTCCAAATCCACTTATGGATCTTCATTTTTAACTGAAATTTGCATTTTAGTTACTTTTACTTTTAAATTTGCTTTGTTGTTCGTTCCTTTCTTCATTTCTAGAATTTGTAACTTTATCCCAATGTAAAATGATCTTTTATATTAAGTTGTGTTTCCCTACCCCTGTGATAAGAAATTGGGATGATTAAAGGTTTAGTTGTTTGAATGAATTAGTTAAATTGCCAAGGTAGCATTCAAATTTCTACCTAACAGTATGTTCTAGAAATATGAATGATTGTGAAAGGTAAGAATCATTCTTATGCAGGTGATGAAAAATATTTAAAAGATAAAATTGAGTGCGATCATATATAGATTTATGTTAAGCAATAAAATTTGAACTACAAGTAACAAAATAAATAGATCTTTTAATGTAGTCAAAATTTTGTTGGTAAGTATTGATCAATGACATTTGTAAAGGAATTTTAAAAAATAAACTTCTCTTTAAGTAATTACAATAGCCATGAATAAGTTTATCCAGGAATATTGTAATCTCATTAGTAGGGCAAAAGCTAAAAAAAAGCATGCAAAATGTACTATACTATACTATATTGAACAATCCCTTTTTTATAGCTATAGTTAGATCCATGAGTAATATCACATAGCAAAAATGGCAAAACCATGCATGCATAGATAAGGTGTGTCCTTAACCTTGACAAATGATTTTAATGAGGCAGCTGAAATGATGGTGTGGACTCACTTTCAAGTGGAGAAGGGAAAGGATCTGGCATAGTATCCCAAGACAGGGAAAAGTTTTCATTCTTCTTACGCCTTCGATCTAAAATGGCTGGTTTAATTGGCGTTTCGACCATTTCAACAGTGCAAGTTAACATAGTAACAATCTTAGACATGGGAGGTCTTTGGTTTGGATGAGGCTGGAGGCAAAAGAACGCTACATTTATTGCCCGTAACACATCTTCCTTGACCAACCCATCATGTGTCACTCGTAGGTCTACCAGATCAAGTACACGTGATTGCTCAAACAACTTCCATGCCTAGCTAGTATCAACACAATAATCAATCAATTAACTAATTAATTAATTTATATCATTTCTATAATTAAATATTAAATACAAAAGCATACATATTCTGGAAGGTACTGCATTTCTGATGGTAAAGTAAGATCTGTGTTCTTCCTGCAGCTAATTATTTCAAGCACAAGAACTCCAAAGCTATATATGTCTACTTTTTCAGACAATTCTCCTCTGATCGCATATTCAGGAGCTGTGTAGCCTCTGAACAAAACCAGATGCAATGAAACATAAGTTACAAATACACAGTCATGTGATAAAATCCAAAATCCAATAAAATTACTGTTATACCAAATACACATCCATAATGAAATCAATTCAAAGATTAATGCACCAAAGTAAAAACATACACATATACACTCCTAATTCATTTCATCTAAAAAACACATGTTTTTTTCCCTAAAACACAATATTAGAAACAAATATTGATAATTTTGGTTATACTTTATCATTGGTCCTTGACCTATTGAAATGTTTCATTCTAGACTTCCACGATTTGACTCAAATTATTAAAGGTTAGACATTTCCTATATATATATATATATTGATAATCCATTTCCTAAAAAAAAAACCCAACTTTAAAATACATATAAGTAAATAATGCCTATTTCATTTCATACTTTTAAAATGATAGAAAGTTTTTTGATTAAAAGCTTTAAAAAAAAGTGTTAAGATTAAATTTTGCAAATAAATTAATCTCAGGAAATATATAATCCACTAATGTCCATGCAAAACTTAAAGTTACATCTAGGTTTAGATTGCAAATATATTTTTTAACTCGTCTTATCTTCTCTCATTTTTTGGATTCTTCATTTATTTCACTCTTCGACATTTTTCTAGAAATGTTATAAAATTGAAAACAATTGGAATCTAATTAGCCTTCAAGATTTTAAACTAAATAGAATTTTACGACCCAACATTGTCGGGGTAATTCTAGTTCATATATTCATCATTTTTTACCTTGAAATATGACAATCCGAAAATGTGTTGAAATTAGGTTGTAATGTAAATAAAGGATAACGACCGATATCTTTTTGTATGAGTTTATAGATGCTAGATGAATGAAATTGATTCTGATTCTAATCTAGAAAAAGGAAGGAAAAAGGTGAGGGTTAGATAGAAGTGGAAGAAGAGAATTAATCAAGAAAGGAAAAAAAAAAAAAAGAAACCAAAAAGAAAAAAATATGCTTAATCAAAATAATCTTGTGATCTAAGCTTGACATTGAATGAAAGGAGTTAGATTCATATTTAAGTTTTTAAAGAAAGGGAAATAAGAAGAGTAAAAGAGGGATAAAGAGAAAAATATTGTGTTGGGTCAAGTAGATCCAAACTGATTAGTATAACAGCTTAAATATTATGCAAACTAGTTAGTATATCCGTTTAAATATTATGTTATTTTTAATATGAGTTAAGTTATAATTATATTTTAAATGATATTAGAGACATGTTCCTAATAAAATTGATGTGTTATATGAATAGGCACATATATATTTGTGAAAATTAATAAGATGTGTTAATTCTAATTGCTATACTCTATTTTCTTAACTTTTTCTTATATAATCTTCAAGTATACATTTAGAACCTTAAGACTTGGATTATAAAAATTTGTGGTCAACTTTAGTAACTATTCCATAAACTAGAAAGAATAAAAAAGCTATTGAAAGAGTACAATAAGAAGTAGATTCTTGAAGATGTATGAAGTAAATATTGATAAATTGATCTTGGGAAATTAAATTAGCGTTGGGGTAGGTAATTGTAAATCTTTTAATATTACTTCATTGTAACCAAGCATAGTATAATTATTTTAACAAGTTAAAATGATTTTTAATGGTGAAAATTTAAACACATACTTTAGACCAAAACTTGTATGTACCCTAGTGTAGTATGACTTTGTGGTAAAATTTTGATATTCAAAGAACTTATATTTTGGGAGAAAAATCATAGTCAAACTATAAAAAAAAAAAAATTAAAATTTTAGCTGTAGCTTTTCTCACATGTTTGGACTTTGAGGCATGAAATTTACATGATTAGAATCTTTGTCTCATAAGCTTTCCATGAATGTAATATTCAAAATTTTTCACTGTGTGATTAATATGAGTTAAGGATTTAAAGTTCAAAAGACTAAACTGAAAAATAAAGCAAATTTTTTTGATAAAAAAATTGTCTTTTAGTTGTGCAAGTGCCACGTGGGGGGCACGTGTAACGTCTTTTTTGGCATAGTTTTTAAAATAGACTTTTACAAAAAATTTTCAAAATTAATTTGTGAACTTTCATATATTTTCTAGAATATAAAAAAATTATGAAAATATATATTTTTTAGTTTTCTTATGACATCATATAATATTTGTCTTTAAAATTCACTCTCACAATTAGTTGGAAATTAATTTTTCTTAACAAATAAATATTTTGGTCCAATAATTGATAATTATGGCATTAATATTTAGTATTTAGATATATATATATATATATATTTTTATGGAATATAGTTTTCATCCATGTCACTATGTCATATGCCATGATTATTTTATTTTATGCAGGTGATGAAAAATATTGCATAATCTGGATAAAAAGAATAAGTCTCCATATTTTACTTTAAATAGTTGACATTTTATTTCATCTTATAGAACTAAAGATGATTATGGATCTTACAAGTGAAATTTTCAATATTACAAAAAAAATTATGGTTCGATATTACAAAAGAAATTATGGTTTAATTATTTTTGTGATAAAGGGAATATGATAACTAAAAGTACAATAATAGATTTTTCAAAAGAAGTTTAATGGAATAATAATGATATATAACATAGGAAGATCTGATATCTTCTATATAAAATAGTCTTTAAAACTATAACTAATAGCATAGATTCACTTGAGCAAGGGAATATGACCCAACATAAAGGCATAGAGGCCTACAAAGTTTAAAAAGGATTGGAAGTGCGTGATGATCATATTAAAGAGTTTAAGACTTTGTAGACTTGCTAAACAAATGTAGCATGAATAAAAATTGAAATTTGGTGGAACAACTATAACTAGGCTTCGTAACTTAATGGTTAAGTTTCATCAATATGTTACAAATCTTTCACACTTTATGATAGAACAATTAAAGGTGATGTTTGTAATGATAAGAGGGTTAAGAGTGGATTAAACTGAACTCACTAATGAACAATAGGTTCAATTAGTTATAAACTCCCTTGTTGAGGCTTTTTAGAGCCTAGTAAAATTGGTGCTAACTCATATTGATAATGTAAGAACTTTAGATGACACCTCATCATCCTTAACTTGAATAGGAGCATAAAAGGGCAACCCATGCTATTTGCTAATGTAGCTCATGCTAATTAACGCAACGGAAAATGGCCTAAGCATAATAACAAAATGGAGCTAAGCAGAAGAATTCTAAAAATTTAGCACCAAAAGATAGCAGTGTGGCCGAGCATAGAAAGAAGAACATCAACAAAGTTAAATACTACAACTGTGAAAAATTTGAATCACTTAGCTTATGATTATTTTGAGTAAAAAAAAAGTTAAACTCAAGCCTAGCTCTGCTAGCACTTATATTTATTTACATGTTCTTATATTGTTGGTAACTACCCATAATTGGTGGGTTACATCGCATGAAACCAACTGCCTTATGTGACTTATATTATTATCATGAAACTACTTTAGGCAATTTTCATTAGAATAAAAAAAGGTCACCCATAACTCCTGTAAAACATGATGGCATTCAACCATTAATAAAAAACAATAACTAAGGGAAAAAAGGGTTTTCTCACAATAAAAAAAGAGAGAAAAAGAGATAGAGTAATTAGACAGGGATCGTATAGTTGTCAAGAGGAATTTTTACTTTAATGTATTGAAGGACTAACACTATGGATACAAACAATTTTCCTATTTGATAGCACCAAATTATATAGTGTTTTTACATGCTAAAAGTGGTGCTAAATTTTAATTTTTAGATGATTTTTTGTACCTTTTATGTTGTTTTCATGATTTTAGGGTTTCAAGCTTATAACCTTCATTTTCATGCAAGCTTGCAATGAGCATTTTTAGCCCAATCTTGGAAGCTCATAGTCAAACCATATTGTTCCACATTCATCCATTTATGTAACCAAGATAGAATTTTATTTGCACATGGACTTTTTCTCATATTCGACTAAAAGAGATCTAATATAAGTGTGATTCCTTTACTTAGCCATGAAGGAATTTTGCTTGCATAATATCTATACATGCATTCGAGTAACTCACTTCCAAAAAAAGAGCAAGCATACTTATGACATTTGAAGAAGTTCAAGCTACCATGGACTCTTGCATGATTAACCAAAAATGTTTTTATCCAAAAAAAAAATCTCCTTTTGATTGAGTTAAGCATGCACAAGGATTCTTATCTCTTTCATTCAGCCAAGACTCCATTCAAGAATCACTTTATGCAATTTTCACAAGAATGGAAACTAGAAACATTCGGCCAAGAGATTTTGTGCCAATGATGAACTTTTTAGCTCATCCAATTAAGAGTTTTGATAAAGGAAGAAATTTGCAAGATAATTATCAAGATAATTGTAGAAAAAATCAAACCACTTTTGAAATCCCAAGCCTTAGTCGAATTCAAGAGTGGAGATTTATCAAGAGGAGTCCTATTCAGTCATACATCTTTAGAAGATAAAGATGAGCCTTATCACTTAGAGTTTGAATTTAAAAATGCATATTGTAATTCCTATCCCTTTGGCCAAATCTCACTCTGTTAATAGAGAGGCCATTTACCACATATCATCATCCCATTCTTCACTTCTTTTCTCTCTTTTAGTTATTAGCTTTTAGTTCTTTTATTTCTTTAGTTTAGTTATTAGCTTAAGTGACAGATTTGCCAACAACAAAGCTTTTGTTCTTTAAATTCTTTTATTTCAATGTAAGAAGTATTTTTTCCAAGATCTTTTCTTTTATTGTTTTAAAGTTACAAATCTTGTTTTCCAATCTTTATTTCGAAAAAGCTTACTTTTACTTTTAAGTTTGATTCAAGCATTCTTTTACTTTCTACAAGTTTTGACTATCACTTTCTTTCGTGCTCTATAAGTTTATTTTCATGCATACTTGTTTCATGATTACTCCAAGCAATTGGCAATATCCATTTTTCTTGTTTTCAAGTTTTTACTTATTTCTTTTTAGATCCAATCTTTGGCTATATTCTTTTACCTCTCAAGTGATAGTTGGAG